AGGGGGCATGAGAAAACCTTGGCGGATAGGATCAAGGAAAACTCCAAGGCTTTTTACACGTATGTGAGGAATAAGAGAATGACCAGAGAAAGGGTAGGGCTGATCAAGGATTGTAAAGGGAATTTGTGCACGGAGCCTAAAGAGATAGGAGAGGTCCTTAATGAATACTTTTCTTCGGTATTCACAACTGAGAGGGACCTAGTTGTAGAGGAGGACAGTGTGAAACAGGCCGGTAGGCTAGAGGAGGTCGCCGTTAATGAGGAAGATGTGCTAGGAATTTTGAGGAAGTTGAAGATAGATAAGTCCCCCGGGCCTGATGGGATTTATCGAAGGATTCTATGGGAAGTGAGGGAAGAGATCGCAGGGCCTTTGGCGATGATCTTTTCGTCCTCACTGTCCACGGGTATAGTGCCGGAAGATTGGAGAGAGGCAAACGTCATTCCCTTGTTCAAAAAAGGGAATAAGGATAACCCCGGAAATTATAGGCCAGTTAGTCTTACGTCAGTGGTGGGCAAATTATTGGAAAGGGCTCTGAAAGATAGGATTTATGATCACTTGGAAAGGCAAGTTTGATTCGTGATAGTCAGCATGGATTTGTGAGGGGTAGATCATGCCTCACAAACCTTATTGAATTCTTTGAAGAGGTGACCAAACGCGTGGATGAAGGTAGAACAGTGGACATGGTAAACATGGTATTTAAGTAAGGCGTTTCATAAGGTTCCCCATGGTAGGCTCATGCAGAAGGTAAGGAGGCATGGGATAGGGGGAAATGTGGCAGATTGGATTCAGAATTGGCTAACCTTTAGAAGACAAAGGGTGGTAGTGGATGGAAAATATTCAACACGGTGCTCAGTTACGAGTGGTGTACCCCAAGGATCTGTTCTGGGTCCTCTTCTATTTGTGATTTTTGTAAAGATTTGGATGAAGGAGTGGAAAGGTGGATTAGTAAGTTCGCGGACGATACGAAGGTGGGTCGCGTTGTGGACAGTGCGGAGGGCTGTTCAAGGTTACAAGAGACTTTTTCCTAGGGTGGAGGCAGCTATTACGAGGGGGCATAGATTTAAAGTGAGTGGAGGTAGATATAGGGGAGACGTCAGAGGTAGGTTCTTTACTCAAAGAGTGGTCGGGGCGTGGAATGCATTGCCAGAGAGGGTAGTGGAATCGGCCTCATTAGGGGCATTTAAGCGGCTATTAGACAGGCATATGGATGATAGTATAAGGTAGGGGTGGAGGTTAGATAGACCTTAGGATTAGGGTAAAAGTTCGCCACAACATGGTGGGCTGAAGGGCCTGTACTGTGCTGTACTGTTCTATGTTTTATTCTCCGTGTCTTTGCTGGTTTCCTCTGGGTGCTGTGGTTCCCTTCCCACAGTCCAAAGATGTGGAGGCTAGTTAGATTGGCCATACTAAATTGCCCATAGTGTCTAGGGATTTGTAGGCTAGGTAGATTAGCTATGGGAAATGCATGGTTACAGGGATAGGGTAGGGGTGTGAGCCTGGGTGGGATGCTCTTCAGAGAGTTGGTGTGGACTTGTTGGGCCTAATGGCCTGTTTCCACACTGCAGGAATTCAATTAACCCAGGCCTACCTTTAAAAAAAATGGAAGATTCAGCCCATTCTCTTGGTTTACTGAACTTAGTATGACCTATCATTAACTAACACAGTCCACTTTTTCCTACTTTCTGGTCATTCCTAAATGTCCTGTACTGTTCAAGATTCGGGTCTGAATCCATGTCATCCTGCAGCCATATTTCTGTAATGGCTGCCAGATCGTACTTATTTTTATTTGCGCCCTCAGTTCACCAGTTTTGCTTTGAATGCTACTTGCACTCAACTACAGATCCTTTAGCTTTATCATTTTACTCTCTTCCTAAATTTTAATCTTATCATTGTCTGCTTGCCTTTATTGGTCAGTTCATTGAGTATAGGAGTTGGGAGGTCATGTTGCAGCTGTACAGGACATTGGTTAGGCCACTTTTGGAATACAGCGTTCAATTCTGGTCTCCCTGCTGTAGGAACGATGTTGTGAAACTTGAAAGGGTTCAAAAAAGATTTACAAGGATGTTGCTGGGTTTGGAGGGTTTGAGCTGTAGGGAGAGGTTGAATAGACTGGGGCAATTTTCCCTGGAGCATTGGAGGCTCAGGGGGACCTTATAGAGGTTTATAAAATCATGAGGGGCATGGATAGGGTGAATAGTCAAGGTCTTTTCCCTAGGTTAGGGGAGTCCAAAACTAAAGAGCATAGGTTTAAGGTGAGGGGGAAAGATTTAAAAGGGACCTAAGGGGGAAAGATTTAAAAGGGACCTAAGGGGTAACTTTTTCATGCAGAGGGTGGTGCGTGTATGGAATGAGCTGCCACAGGAAATGGTGGAGGCTGATACAATTATAACATTTAAAAGGCATCTGGATGGGTATATGGATAGGAACGGTTTAGAGGGATATGAGCCTAATGCTGGCAAATGGGATTAGATTAATTTAGGATAGCTGGTTGGCATGGATCAGTTATACTGAAGGGTCTGTTTCCATGCTGCACAGCTCTATGACTCTAAGATTTATATTCTCTATCCTTTCGTGTCATGGTTCATCAGTCATTTCAAGTATTAATACCTCTGTTTTTGGCCTTGGCTCTACTCTTTGATTTATCACATCTGCCCAAATTTGGTCCTTTGCCCCCACTATTCACTTTAAAATCCTCTCTATTTCCCTAGTTATGCAATTGGCAGGAACATTAGCTGCAACACAGTTCCCACTTTCCCCAGTACCGCTGCCCGGGCTTCATGAATGAGAATCCAGTTCTCCCACACCACTCTTTCTAATCTCTCTAATCTGATTTGCCCTATGCCAACTGGCATGTGGCTCAGGTAATAATGCAGAGATTATGATCCTTAAGGTTCTGCTTCTTAATTTGGCACCTAGTTACTCATATCAATTATGCAGAACCTTCTTGTTTGTCCTGTTTGGGTCACTAGTATTTACATAGATCGTGGCAACTAGATCGTCCTCATCCCACTCCAATTTCCTTTCGAATCCTGAGCAGATATTCTGAACCCTGCAACTGGGCATACAACATAACCATCTGGACTCATGCTCTTTGCTGCAGAGATCATGTCAATCCCCCTTACTATACTCTGTATAACTCTGGCACTCTATCATAAGTCACACTAAATCGCTAGTTTTATATGCTCCTAACACAAAAGGCCTAGCTGACTCGCTCAATGAGGATCCAGTTTCAGCTGGTTCTTAATTAAGCCGCTCTTTCACTGGAACCCTCAAAGAAATCTTGCTTAAGGCTGACAACTGCTGAATTTAAAGTGTACATGTCAGTTTAATGTCAACTGTAAACCACAAATCAAATTAAATTTGTACAAAATAAGGGAAGACCCATCAGATCTACACCAAATTTCCATTTTCCTGCCTTCTCCTTTCAACTTCTATTCTTCTATTTGTGATTTTTATAAATGATTTGGATGAAGGAGTGGAAGGGTGGATTAGGAAGTTTGCGGACGATACGAAGGTGGGTTGCGTTGTGGACAGTGCGGAGGGCTGTTCAAGGTTACAAAGGGACATTGATAGGATGCAGAGCTGGGCTGAGAAGTGGCAGATGGAGTTTAACCCTGAAAAGTGTGAGGTGATTCATTTTGGAAGGACAAACTTGAAAACAGAATACAGGGCTAACGGAAAGACTCTTGGCAGTGTGGAGGAGCAGAGGGATCTTGGAGTTCATGTTCACAGTTCCCTGAAAGCTGCCACCCAGGTGGATAGAGTTGTTAAGAAGGCGTATGGTGTGTTAGCTTTCACTAATAGAGGGATCAAGTTCAAGAGCCGTGAACTTATGCTCCAGCTATACAAAAGCCTGGTTCAGCCACATCTGGAATATTGTGTCCTGTTCTGGTCACCTCATTACAGGAAAGATGTGGAGACGTTGGAAAAGGTGCAGAGGAGATTTACCAGGATGTTGCCTGGAATGGAGGGAAGGTCTTATGAGGAAAGGTTGAGAGAGCTAGGGCTTTTCTCTTTAGAACGACGAAGGATGAGAGGTGACTTGATAGAGGTGTACTTGATAGTGGGTGGCACAGTGGTTAGCACTGCTGCCTCACAGCACCAGGGACCTGGGTTCGATTCCAGCCTCGGGCGACTGTCTGTGTGGAGTGTGCACATTCTCCCTGTGTCTGCGTGGGTTTCCTCTGGGTGCTCCGGTTTCCTCCCACAGTCGAAAGATGTGCGGGCTAGGTGGATTGGCCATGCTAAATTGCCTGTAGTGTTCAGGGAGGTGTAGATTAGGTGGGTTATAGGGGATGGGTCTGGGTGGGATGCTCTGAGGATCGATGTGGGCTTGTTGGGATGAAGGGCCTGTTTCCACACTGTAGAGATTCTATGATAAAATGATCAGAGGTATAGATAGAGTGGACAGCCAGAGACTGTTTCCATGGGTGGAGGTAGTTATTATGAGGGGGCATAGTTTTAAAGTGAGTGGAGGTAGATACAGGGGAGACGTCAGAGGTAGGTTCTTTACTCAGAGTGGCAGGGGCGTGGAATGCATTGCCAGTCGGCCTCATTAGGGGCATTTAAGTGGCTATTAGATAGACATATGGATGATAGTATAAGGTAGGGGTGGAGGTTAGATAGACCTTAGGATTAGGGTAAAAGTTTGGCACAACAGCGTGGGCCGAAGGGCCTGTACTGTACTGTTCTATGTAACTCTGTATGTTCTTCTTTTTATCAAATAGTCTCATTCCCTTTTGAAAGCCTCAAATGAACCAGCCTCCATCACTCTCAGGCAGCACATCAGCCAAATGATAAAATTATTTTGAACCATCTCAGGGTAGATTTCTCACTCACGAGAATGAACAGGAATCCTTTCAATTTTCCCCTTGGGGCAATATTAATGCTCCATTTGAGAATCATGCTGTGCACTAAGTGTTGACCAGTATAACTTGATTGTTTCAGGCATGTTGTCCCAGATAGACACAGACTTTGTAAGACGAGCAGTGCCTGCTTGAGGGTGAGGGGTGAAGGGGCATGTTAGCATAGAATCATCACAGCATTGAAAGAGGCCATTAGGCCCATTGTGCCTGTGTGGGCCCTATTGAAGGAGCAGTTCACCTAGTGCCACACCTGTCTTTTCCCGGTAGCCCTGAAAATTTTCACTTTTTAGATGATGGTCCAATTCCCTTTCCAAAGTCTAAATTGTATGTGCCTCTACCACACTCATTCAGAGCATTCCAGACTTTAACCCCTTGCTGTATGAAAGTTTTTCCTCATGTGTTATCGCTTCGTTAGCAGTCACCTTAAATCTGTGCCCCCAGTTCTCAATTCTATGAATGGGAACAGTTCCCAGTCTGCGCCTGCATGCCCTCACCCAATGTACTCTGTCCAGACTCCTCTGCAATCAAATGAATAATTAATTTCATACTTCTCTATTAAATGTCACCTGTCACTCATCCTTTTAAAGTTACACCATCCTCCTCATGGATTCATGTTCCAAGTTTGGTATCAAAGAATCATAGAAGTGCTACAGTGCAAATAGAGGTCATTTGGCCCATCAAGTCTGTACTGACCCACCCTATCCCCATAACCTTGTATTTACCATAACCCTCCTAATCCACCTAGCCTGCACATCTTTGGACTAGGGGAGGAAACTGGAGCACCCGGTGGAAAGCCAGACAGACACAGGAAAAACATGCAAACTCTATACAGTCACTCATGACTGGAATTGAAGCTGGATCCCTCGTGTTGTGAAGCAGCAGTGCCAACCACCGTCATCTGCAATCATCTGCTCCGTCCCCTATACACTAATGTCAAGGTCATTACTATATATCAGGAATAGAAGGAATCCTTACGATGATTGAGGAACTCAACTTATAAATGTTTCTGTAGTATGAAGAACAACCATTCGCTGTTACCATTTCCTGTCACTCAGCGAACTTTGTATCCACGTTGCTACTACCATTTTTATTCCAAGCACTGGAAAATGGGATTAGAGTAGTTAGGTGCAGTCCTGATGGACCAAAGGGCTTCTTTCTTCCTGTAGACCTTTACGATCATGAGCAGCAAAGTTCCCCGTTATAACTACTCTTTAATTTTGAGCCACCTGTGGTCTCACAAACTTGGCTCTGGCTGTACTGCATAGGCAAACCATCATTCTCACCAGTATTCAGAACTGAATAATGGTTGAAGAGCAGGATGCACTCAGGGAACTCCTGCACTAATTTCTCATTTCTTCTTGATAACCTGATACTTACCCATCCCCTCCCTCCCAGCATTCTCTTAAGTTTGGGCTGACCACATCTAGAAGTATCCGTGCACAAAGCTCTCAACCTTGCAGATGCACCAGTGACACCAGCTGCTGCTAAAGCTCTGAAACCTGAAGCCAAGTTGCTGCGGCTGATGACACTTCCTGCATATATGGTTATCCAAGAATCAGGGCATGTGCTTTCCAGAGATCAAATCTACTAAATTACTACTCTGAAGAAAATCAAACAAACTCACCAGCTACATATTTCTCTGTTCCCTAAATATAGGGAGGTTAATTGAAATACTTGACTTCACCTTAATCAAAAAAAAAATGAATGCCCAACTCCTTGGACCAACTTCCTAACTTATTTTATTTGTTCATGGGATGTGCTGGCTGACCCAGCCCTAACTGCCCCTTGAGAAGGTGGTGGTGAGCTGCCTTCTTGAACCGCTGCAGTCTATGTGCTATGGGTAGACCCACAATGCTGTTAGGGAGGGAATTCCTGGATTTTAACTAAATGATACTGAAGGAATGGTGATATAATTCCAAGTCAGGATGGTGAGTGGCTTGGATTGGAACTAGCAGGTGGTGGTGTTCCCAAATGTCTGCTGTACTTGTTCTTCTAGTTGGTAATGGTCATGGGTTTGGAAGGTGCTAAGGGGCCTTGGTGAACTTCTGCAGTGTATTTTTGTAGATGGTACACACTGCTGCCACTGTGCATTAGTGTTGGAAAGAGAAAATATTGAAGGTGGTGGATGCGTACCAATCAAGCAGCCACTTTGTCATGTGCAGTGTTGTTATGTATGAGTTTCTTCAGTTACTGGAGGTGCATTTATCCAGGCAAGTGAGGAGAATTCCATCACATTCTTGACTTGTGCCTTGTAGATACTGGATAGGCTTTGGGAGCCAGGAAGTGAGTTACTTGCTGCAGGGTTCCGAGCCTCTGGCCTTAACTTCTAGCCACAGTGGCTAGACCAGTTCAGTTTCTGGTCAATGGTAACTCCCAGGATGTTGATAATGGGGTATTTGTTGATGATAATACCATTGAATGTCAAGGCCAGATGGTTAGATTCTCTCTTGTTGGAGGTGGTCATTTGTGACACATGTGTAGTGCAAATGTTACTTACCTCTAATCAGCCCAAATCTGGATCTTGTCCAGGTCTTTCTGAATATGGATAAAAATGGCTTATGTATCAAAGGGATCACAAATGGTGCTGAACACTGGGCATTCAACAATGAACAATTCCAACCCTGACTTTATGATAGATGGAAGGTCACTGATGAAGTAACTAAAGATGGTTAGCCCTAGGACATTACTCTGAGGAACTCCTGGAGTGATGTCTCAAGACTGAAGTTGTTAACCTTCAATAATCACACCATCTTCCTTTGTGCCAGGTATGACTCCAACCAGCAGAGAGTGGAGGGTGATCTGTTGGTTGTGGGATCACTTAGCTCTGCCTGTTATTTGCTGCTTATTCTGTTTAGCATGCAAGTAATCCTGTGTTGTAGCTTTAGCAGGTTGACACTTCATTACTAGGTATTCGTGGTGGTGCTCCTGGCATGCCATCCTGCACTCTCCATTGAACCAGGGTTGACCCCCTGACTTGATAATAATGGTAGAGTCGGGGATATGAGGTTGCAGATTGTGGCTTAATACAATTCTGCTACTGCTGATGACCCACAGCGCCTCACGGATGCTAAATGAATTGCTCAATCCATTTGAAGTGGTAATGTCACACAACACAATTGAGGTTATCCTCAATATAAAGACAGGACTTCATCTCCATAATGACTGTATGGTGGGCAGATGCATCTGTGACAATTGGGTGGAGGATGAGCTAAGTTTTCTCCCTCTCATTGGTTCCCTTAGCATCTGATGGGCATCCAGTCTAGTGGCTGGATTTCCACCCCTCCCGCCCCCACCTTTATTCATTCACAGGAAGAGGGCATCACTGGCTATGCAGCAGTTATTGCCTATCCCTAATTGCCCAGAGGACAGTTTAGAGCCAACCCCATTGCTGTGGGTCAGGAGTCACATCTAAGACAGACCAGGTAAGGACGGTAGTTTCCATCCCTAAAGGGCATTAGTGAACCAGATGGGTTTTTCCCCATGGCGGGATTTGAACCCAGGTCCCCAGCATGGGGCAGCATGGTGGCACAGTGGTTAGCACTGCTGCCTCACAGCACCAGGGACCCGGGTTCGATTCCAGCCTCGGGTGACTATTTGTGTGGAATTTGCACATTCTCCCCGTGTCTGCGTGGGTTTCCTCCGGGTGCTCTGGTTTCCTCCCACAGTCCAAAGATGTGCAGGTTAGGTGAATTGGCCATGCTAAAATACCCATAGGTGTAGATTAGGTGGGTTATAGGGGGATGGGTCTGGGTGGGATGCTGTGAGGTTCAGTGTGGACTTGTTGGGCCGAAGGGCCTGTTTCCACACTGTAGGGATTCTATGAATTTAGAACATTATCTGGGTCTCATGAATTAACAGTCCAGCAACAATACCACTAGGCCATTGCCTCCCCCTTGTAGGTTTCAGCCATTTCAAGTAATAGTATTACTATTGAGCTACTCTTGGTGATGGATATTGAAGTCTCCCCCTCAGAATACATTCTGTTGTAAGAGATCACATATTTTATATTTTTAGAACTGCAATACCAGGAGAGTGTTGTGACTTGAAAATCAGGTGTTGCATATCATTGAGCTGTGCAATGCAATGTTGCTTTTCAGAAGTAGCAAGAGGGAGACTTTGAGACTAAGTGGCACTGAGAACTTTCAAGTTAAGGAAATTTTGCCTGGCAACAGCTGTTTGATTGGTTAAGCTGCAGAATGCTAAAATGCTATAAATGCCAACAGCAGCAGTGGAAAAACACCCAGAGCCTTCAGATCGAAAGCATTTATCTCTTCCTCTCTCTCCATATGGGATAAAGACGGAAAATCAATAAAACGTAAAAGAAATAATTTGTACAAGAAAGTTCACCTGATGTTGAATCGAAGAACAAGTGTCAGCCTACAAGCAGCATATCATCACTGCAACAGGACTGAGAAAAAGAACTTCCCACCTTTGGACTTTTGATCTTCGGAATTTTGTTTGACCTGCTTATACTCCTTTACTACACATAATTTGTGTGAAACCATTTGTCTTAATTATGATTAAATTCCCACACATGTACATAATCAAAGGGGTATGTTTAAGTGGCATAAATTAGAACTCTTTTCTTTTCATTATTCTTGTTAAATAGCTTTCTGCTGAAAAAACAAACTGGCGTGAATTGCTTTTGCCCTGAGTAGCAGTCATGCAGTCAGGAAAACTGGTCATTTTGGTGATCTCATTGGAATTTTATATATTCTGCAACAGCTTGTGGAACAGTGTGGCATGAGTGGTGCATTCTTCTCAGTTACGAATTGACACTGTGCCCTTGCACCCTCATCCACCAATTCATCAGCAGAGGTTGGGGGGTGGGAACGACACATGGTAGTCAGCAGGAGGTTTCCTTGTTTGTGTTGAACCTAATGCCATGAGACCTCAATGGGTCCTGAGTCAACGTTAAAGACTCCAAGGAATACTCATTCCTGACTGTATACCACTGCACCACCATGTGTAGTGGGTCTGTCCTATTGCTGGGAAAGGACAATACCCAGGGGCAGGGATGGTGACATCTGGGACATTGTCTTCTGAGAAAGGGAAGTAAAGCTGCAATGCTCACCAGTCAATCAACTCATGGCATTCCTGTGATGTCAGAGTTTGACTTACTGTAATTACTTCCATGTTACTTGGAAGGAATAGTGTAATTTGCTTTTAATTCACAAACAGCATAGAAGATTTCAGTAAAATCCTCAATACAGTATTATCACTTCCTCCGCGCTGGTTTCTGTTAATGAACATGCAAAGACCAACTCAGTATGATGGATTTCTCAGAAAACTGCATACTTCCTGTATAAGCACCCTTTATGAACCCAAGACAAACTGGTAAGTTGTGATATTGCTTTTAGGGGACAAGCATTGATGACATGATTACAAGTATCAGCAATCAAGCATTTGCTATTGCATTTTGCACAATTTTTAAAGCTTTTAGCAGACATGCTGATCCATCAACAGTGGCTTTTACTTTGTAGGCAATGTATTACATGGTTTAACGAGGAAGATTGTACCATAAACCTCACACGAGTGCAGCCGGACCAAAATTTAGAGTGCAGACTTTCCATTTTTGCATTGCCATTTTTATCCTAACACTAGTATGTTTTTGCCATTTACGTTTGTCCTCCGTGATGCAATCAAAGCCTTGTTCTTTGACAATATATTTATGATGTTGTTACAAGTAATAGAGGAGACCATCCCCACACAAAACATAGGAATGGTCACTGGTATTACATGTGACTTCACTTAAATATATAAAATTGTGATAGGGCTGGTGAGACTGGACACAAGGATGATGTTATCCATGGTGGGCATCTGGAACAAAGGGTCATGGTCTTAGGATACACCATTTAGGACAGGGATGGGTAGAAATTTCTTCACTCAGAGGGTGATGAATCTGTTTATTTCTCTACCACTTAAGGGTGTGGTGGCCAAGCTACTGAATATAATTAAGAAAGAAAGAGTTGGATTTGAAGACACTGAAGATGTAAAGGGGTATGGTGAGAGAGCAAGAGTATGGTATTGGGATAGTGGATCAGCCATGATCATACTGAATGCTACAGCAGGCCTCATGTTTCTTTTTTCTCAATTTCTACTGAACCTGCATATGCCTGGTTTTCTCTGCTGTACCTCCAGGACACACTCACAAAGAAAGGTCTTAAATTCAGAATTCCCAGGTTTCCACTCATTTGCATTGCACAAGAATTTCTTTGGAATTTGGTGGGGCAGGGAAGAATGATGGTAGGAGGTAAAAATAGCTATGCCACAATTAGATTTAAGTATGATTCAACCACAAAAAAAAATGGTGGTTGGGGTTGTGGTAGGAGAAAAGATAAGCACTCTCTGTCATCAATGCAAGTACAGAAGGATTGAGGCTAAAGACTTTCGCAGCCAGCAGCCATTAAAATTGGAATCCATATTCCTAACTTTTATCCTGAAATAGGACAAGTAATTGTTATTACCTGGTCCCAACTGGCTCCTGGGAAATCAAAAAGAACAGAAAAAGCAAGACAGGCCAGATCAAGTGAACAGAATAGTTGAATTTCTGTTTGATCAATACACCTACTTCTGGAAAAGATTGGGAACTTTAAAATTTTGACAATGAAAGGGCAACATGGTGGCTCAGTGGTTAGCACTGCTGCCTCACACCGCCAGGGACCTGGGTTCGATTCCACCCTTGGGGTGACTGTCTGTGTGGAGTTTGCACATTCTCCCTGTGTCTGTGTGGGTTTCCTCCGGGTGCTCCAGTTTCCTCCCACAGTCCAAAAATGTGCAGGTTAGTTGGATTGGCCATGCTAAATTGTTCATAGTGTGGAAGGATGTGTACATTAGGTGGGTTATGGGGGGGAAGGGTCTGGGTGGGATGTTCTGAGAGTCAGTGTGGACTTGTTGGGATGAAGGGCCTGTTTCCACACTGTAGGGATTCTATGAAAGGTTAAACACTGGTCACATACATTTTTTTTGTTTAGTGTAGACCCTTTGTCTTAACACAATATAGGAGGGGACCATGGGTAGCACTGTTTCTATAATATCATTGGCAGTACTCAGCATGTAGTTTTCCCCAAATCTAGCTTTCCCCAAATTGAGTTTTGCCTGAGCTGAATGGCATGTGTGGATGTGAATATGGCTTTGTTTCTTTTTGCTGCTTACCTCTGGTGACGTCATTTATATCATATTTGAACTCATCATTTCCACATTTCCAGGACATATCCTCCACTGAGAAGGACTCGTTTGATCGTAGCATAATAATTTCAATTGCACTTGACTTCAGAAGGGCAATTTGGTCATCCGCAAGCAACTCCCTGCAGATTGAAGAAGTTCTCTCCTTAGTAAATATTTCTGCATCAGCATTTTTGTTGTAAATTAATTTATGATATTTACCCAGTGATGGGTATAATGTCTCCATCATTAGGTCCACAATTCTGCCCCTTAGGGCAGGTGGCGATTCTATTTCCTTTGTCAATGTTCTCCTTGACTAGATGGTTCCTATTTCATTTTCCATCCTCTCTGCCCCACCCCTTTTAGAGAAATTATATGGTTGCTAACTGGCGCAGTAGAGCGTGGGAAGTGGAGCGGTGGCATTAAAACCTGAAACATTTGTTTCCACACTTGCAGGTTACTGCTCTAATGTACAGCTTTGCCACAATGCTGGCACCTCTTTTATCATCCCACTTCATGCCTGTAACAATGATTTGCTAAACAGAAAAAGAAGTACACTGTATAAAAATAACAAGCTTGAAGCACATATAAAGATAAAATAAACATGTGATGTGGCATGCAGCCATACAGCCCAGCAAGGTTTCATGTCAGTTCCTGTGTTGAGTTCACTCATTTTAGCTGGGGCAGCAGTTGGGGTGCTACAATCATTCAGCATGGATTAGGCAGGAGAAAAAAATAGTCTTGACTTCCACTGCCAAAAGTGTGTGGGAATAATGGAGAGGGCATGATCAGACTTAGCCATGACGTTACCACAGTCAATTTCTTTTGTGTTGCCATCTAAGGACAAACACATTTAACTCAGTGAAGAGATGAAGGGCTGCAAGTTGCAGCAGAACTGTATCCCAGCAAAAGTCATGGCCCTCAACAGCAAGTAAACTTAAAAAAAAATGCTATTTGCTCAGTTTTACAGTAGCCAAGAAGCCCAATCAATGCTCAAACCATTTCGATCATGGAAGAGAAGGGAAAAGGAGAGCTCAAAGTGGACAGGATACAAATAAGAAGATGCTTTTTCTTTTGTCTGCTCTTACAGTCATCACAACTTATAATGGCAGTAAAGCAAAGTTTTAATTTGGTGTCAGTTTTTGTAAATATAGGAAAAATATGAATTTTAGTTTAGTTTCCCTGTAATCATCGCTTATGCAGCAAATAACAGTCAATTCTTGCGCTCATTTAATCTCACATGATGCTGTGTGCCAAGTATAGTTCTAAAAGATCAAGCAAGTTATGGTCATTTGCAAAATGCAATTGCGTCCAGTGATTAATGCATAGTTCCACTCTTCCTGAAAGTAAAGGGTGAGAAATCGTTTCACTGAAAATTCAAACAAATCAGGTCCCTCTACTGTGCACCATTTTATCAACACCAAACGGTAAGCTTCACAACAAACAGAGGATTTAGTTCAGATCAATCACATTGGAGATTGGTTATTGATAAATTCCACACACTTTCATGTGCTGATCAGCACCTAGTGAGAGGTGAGGAGATGGGTGTCACATTATTCCATGTCAGGCTCGTAAAACACTGCACAGTGCCTTTAATACAGCAATGCATCCAAAGACACGCCCCAAAAAGGCTAGAAGCAAACATGAGTTAGGAGCTATGATCTATGAACTGTTTTAAATGATAAGACTTCATGGAGATTTTTGAAAACAGTGTGGTTGGGTGCTTAGGTAACAATCATATTCTGAAGGCACTACTGATGCATAGTAGAGAAGAATGGGAAGAATGGAAGATCTAAACTGGGACATATAGCTGCAGGTGTTTGTAGAGATAGGACTCGGTACAGATGCAGCGGTCGAACATGTTGAAGGCTATGGGGAAGTTGGAAAAATAGGAAGGATAAGGCACTGAGTTTGTTTCCACTGAGATGTTATTGGTGACTTTGTCCAGAGTGGTATAGTGAGTGTGGAATTGACACTAATCTGCAGGAATTGTAAAAGGAGCAAAACAATAAGTGAGCATACAAGAAGCGTAGAATATTTGAGGGCCTTAAACAGGAAAACGTTAGGGTTTGGCAGTAGTTAGAGATGGTGGAAGAGTCAAGCTGGGAGTTTTAAGGTGCATTTAGCACATTTGGAAAGATAGTCTTCTACAACATCAATCGTTTGCAAGGATAGGTTAACTGAGTGATTAAGGGTTGGGTTAGTCAGGAGTCAAGGGGCAGGAGCTGGATGTCATGGAGAAGATGAGGGGTAGAGAGACACTATGAGAGAAACTACAGGTTCAAGGTAGAGGAGGGGAAGAGTTTGAAGACAAAAGAAATCAATGAACTCTTCACAGTTGACATTAATAATGAGGGTCGATCAGAACCAGAATAGAGGTTGTTTATGACGGAAAGGTCCAGGATGATTCCAAAGATTAAGATAATCAGTACAGAGGAGACCTTCACCTCAGTGATTAAGTTGGAGTTGAACCAAATCCCAGAGATGAAATAAATAAATAATTGCAACACCTTATCACCACAAATGAAGTTGCAATGGTAGCAGCCAATTTGTGCACAAGTATGTCACAAAAATAGTAAATGAGACAAATTACCAATAAAATTAGCCTTGGATGGTACTGGCAGAGAGAACTGGTTTGACCAGGGCATAAAAGAACTGTTCTTTTAGCAATGGTGCTATGAGATTCAGTGCTAGAAACACTGCTTTTTCTGAGATCAATACTTGGATATTGGAACACAGTAAAATTACAAAATTTGCCCATGATATAAAACTTGAAGAAGTGGCAAATGGCCTTTGAGTAATGCAATGAAGAATCAGACAAAGTTGCACGCTTATGTTCTGAGTGGGTCTGAGACCCGTAACCTTGTGACTCAAAGGCATGAGTACCAACTGGCTCAGCTAAACTGGCGTTTAAGTAAAGAAATGTGAAAAGAGTGTGTGCTGATCTAATGCGCTGTTAAATCATCTCTCCCTGACAACTCCCTGCCTATTCTTTATACTGAAAGATGGAAAGCCTTCCAAAGTAGCGCTTTTCATGATCACTGATGTCTCAAAGCACTTTACAGCCAATGAAGTACATTTGAAGTGCAATCACTGATGTCATAGGGAAATGCAACAGACAATTTGCGCACAGCAAACTTTCATACACAACAAAGTGATAACATTCAGGTATCCTGATTTTTGTGATGTTGATTCAGGGATAAATATTAGCCAAGGCACTCCCCCACTCTTCTTCAAAATATTGTCATTATATCTTTTACAATTACAAGCAGACAGATAGGGCTTTAGTTTACATCTGAAAAGATGGCACCTCCGCAGTACTCACTCAGTACTGTACTGGAGTGTCAGTCTTAAGTCTTGCTTTGCCTCAGTTGTCTTAAAGGCTTTTGGGTTCCTTCCCATCACCTACTCACCTACGCACACCCATAGCTCTGTAGCCCATAGACACTACCTAAAAGTGTGAATAATAGAGCTTTCAAACACTTCACACACTTCTTAGTTTTGTGCAAATAAACACAGACATTGACAAAACAGATCACGTGAAGAATAACTTATTATGACTACTTAAAATATGTCAATCTGGCAAATCAACAGTTCTCTCCAGTTGTCAAACAAAACCCCACACTGGGATGATAGTTTTGAGAGTCTAGGCTCTCAGCCAAGCATACATAATGAAGGCATCCAGTCCTACTGTAAGGGACTACATATCTTTCCTTTTTGGACTATAAACTGAAATGGAAGTCAGACTGCTATATAGGTGAAATACCAGGAGACCTTTGCAATTTCAGAAATTCAAGTGGTGCACAGTTTTAGCTGTGTAAAACTATGTTACTTTTCAAAGCAGTGAGGAGAAATACTTGGACTGCAGGTGTCATTGGAGTTACAGAAAACTGTCTGTTGACAGACTTTGGATTGGTCCAATTGCAGTTTGTGCTTGTTGTATAATTCATGATCTGTAACAGACCTCCAGAACCAGCAAATTGAAAAAAAAAACTTCTCTCAGAGTAAGTGAAAAGGTAAAAAAAAAACTCAAGAAACTTATAGAATTCTAATACAAGGAAAGACCTAGGTCCATCAGATCAACTATTGAAGTGATGAATTATCATCATTTTACAGACAAAAGGAACAGAGAGATAATTTAACCCAGCTTTGTGATCTGAACTTTTGATCTTCAGAATTTTGTTTTACCTGTCTATTTTACCATCCATAATATTTGTGTCAAACGATCTATCTATCTGTCTTACTCATGACGTAATGTATGTATTTGGTGTTTTCAATTGTTTAAATCACATTATAGATTTGTAATCCTTTCTCTTCTCTCCCACTTGTTAAGTGAAGTATTATAATAAAAAGAGTCACTTTCTGTTAATCATGAAACCTGGCATGATTTTCTGTCCAGAACAGCAGTCAGTCTGGCAAACTGGTCAATTTGGTGGCTTAAATGGGTATTGACACATTTGTAACACATTGTGGAACAGTAGGGCTTATCAGCACACTCTTCCCAGTTAAGTTGCAATACTGAAAGAGGTCTTACATCTGTGCTCATTGCAAAATCTCATTGAAAAGAAGACCTTTTGCAAGCATGGGCTGGTTAAACAAACCATTTCATTCTGCTACAATGCATATGAATATGCTGTTGTTAGTTCAAAAAGGCACTCATATATCAAGTTCAGTGTCAGTATGATGCTAAGTACGTAGGCTGTCCATTCCAACAACTGGCTAATCGAATGAAACAGCTTGTTCCTTTGACTGTTCGTACGAAACA